CCTCATGAAACTTTTTTTTTAAATTAATTTACATTCATTCTCTGAGCATCGTCACAACATACTAACTGTGGCTTCCCATCTAGAATAAACTGCATAGTGGCTTAATCATGCATGTTATCATCAATAATATTCCATTTCTACTTTCATATATATGTATATATATATATTTTTAACCCCATGTTTGACCCTCTGCCCTTTCCCATGCTCTTATTACACTATCTCTGCTGTCTACAGTTGTCTTCAATTCCTTTTCCCCCAACATTTTGTTGATCACACACTATCATAAGTAATCTAACTACTTTCAATAGCAAGTTCAGCTGGTAATTTCAAGAAAAGCAGTTTTGAAATGGTAAGGATATTTCCTTGAAACTTAAAGCCTAGAAACAGATTAGTATTCTGTTCAAATAGTAGGTACATGAATCTATTGACAGCTCAAGACAGGACAAAAAGAATTCTGGGATATGATATTCAGCTCCAGACTTGTCCCTACAATTAAGTTGCCCATTGTCTTAGTTTTTGAACTCTTATTTCTGTGTGTCTGCATTTAATTTTGCTGGGTTTTGATTTGTATTTCGCTTATGTTAAAAAATGTTGAGCATATTTTCATATGCTTTATGGTTGTTCATATGTCTTTCTTGGAGAATTGTCTGTTCAGTTTATTTACCCACTTTTTAATTGGATTGATATTTTTTTTGTTCTGCTCTTTATTTTTTTCCTGTGAGTGAATTAGCTGCTTGAGCACTCTATATCTCCTGGTTATCAGCCCCTTATCTGAAAGATAGTTTGCAGGTATAGTCTCCCATTCTCGGAGTTGCTTTTTCATTCTATTTACTGTTTCTTTTACTGTGCAGAAGCTTTTTAGCCTGATGTAGTTCTGCTTGTCTACTTTTCAGTATTACTGTCTGTTCTTTGGGGCTTTTATTTACTTCAATGCTTGTAAGATTTTCCCCCATGAACACAAAAACAGAAAGTTATCTATTAATGATAATGTATATGGTAATATCTTTGTTATAGCAACAAGAGCTGACTAATACAGATACAGAGATCTCAATTTTGAAAATCTGTTAGCCAGGACTAGAATGTATGTAATACACACACAACACACACACACACACACACACACACACACACAAAGATCCTGTTGTAATTTTGGGCATGCATACACATGTATCTTGAGTGTTTTTCAAGTTGCTAGGATTTAGACTGTACAGTTGGCTATTTGAGAACTGATTCCTTTTAATTTTTAGAATTATTTTATTTTACTTTATTTATCCATTTATTTATTTATTTATTTATTTTAAATTCTACCAGAGAGGGACAGAGTGAGAGAGAAAGAGGGAAAGTGAGAAAGCAAGCCATCAGGTCCAGAACTCAAGCCATGGTCACCAGGTGAGAGTACAGCGTCCTTAACCACCATGCCACCTGCTGGCCCTGGAAACTGACTTCCTTAACCAGATTATGGGGCCAGCTCCATATATATGTATGTAAAAGCATGTATATAAGATATGTATATAAAAATAGCTTTAAAAGATTTTGAATATTCACAGCAAAAAGTAATGATACATGTTTTAAAATGGTAGATATATATGTTGGCTGATTGATCATCACACATTGTATTCATATATTTAAAAATCACACTTTATCTCATAAGTGTATGCCTATTACATATCAGTTTTCTTAATTATTTTATTTAATTTTATTTATTCATCATTTATTTTAATTTGATGAGAGAGAAAGAGAGAGAAAGTGAGAAAAAGTGAGAAAGTAACCCACCAGGTCCAGAACTTGAACCATGGTCGGTCATGTGATAGTGTCCAGCACCTTAACCACCACACCACCTGCTGGTGCCCTATATGTCAATTTTTAAAAAATGCAATTTTCTGGGGCTGGCAGTTGGTGTGCTGGTTAAAGGCGCTGGGTTCCCAAATGGTTGGCCGCAGTTCAAGTCCCAGACCTGGCAACTTGCTTTCTCGCTTTCCCTTTCTCTCTCTCTGTCCTCATTTGGTCAAATAAAAAAAAAATAATAAAAACAAATTGAAGCAAATAAATACATCATTCTTTTTTAAAAATGCAATTTTCTGATATAAAAACTCCTGGGCCTTTGAAATGCAGAGTTTAGGGAACAAGAAGAGCTTTTATTCCCCAGAGGAGAGGGTGCAGAGAAAGTTGGGAAACATGCAATTTATTCCTATTGCCTCATAAAGACCTAAGTCCATACTGGATTCTTATTCCCATATCCTAACCCCCATAGGAAACTCACTATTCAGGGAACAGAAGTGAAATTCAACAATTTGACTAACAAGGAAGCTTGGGAATTGATTTCTTATGGACCCAGAAATTGTAAATATTCCCCCAGCTCCTATAATTTATCCCCCACCCTGGCTTTTCTTCTTTGGGCCAGGAGGATAGCTACATGTGTATCTACCAGGCATCCTTCTGGCCCCAAGCTCTAACTTCAACACCTAGTACTTTCCTGGAAGCAGAGCCCATGACAAAGGAGGAAACTGAGGTACTTTAACTCAAGCCTGAGGAATGGTGGCAAGAAGAAGAAAGATAGCCCAGTAAGTGACTTGAGAGAGAGAGAGAGAACGAATGTTTGCAGACTTGGTGGGTGGCATGTTCTATGAATTCAGAGACACTGAAAGAGTTTGGCCAAGTCAAAACCAAGTTCTCAGCCCAAAATCTAATGACCACCCTTATCCAGTTAGCTCAGACTAGTCCATCTACGATGCTACAAGACTTTGTCCAAAACCCATAATTCCTCTTAACAACTGACCCTTCTCTTGTAAGCCCACTGGAGCATCTGAAAGAAAAGGTATTCTCATAACATGTTATTGTTTTGTTTGCTTTTTCGTTTGACAGATGTGTTGGTATTTTAGTAAAGACATGCATCTCAGTCATTTTTCTCTCCTATCTTGACCTTGGGTTAATATTTCATTTGGGTCAAGAAAAGAATGTGTTGGAAAGGAATGTTATTTTAACACATGATAAAAATGGACAAAAAGAGAGTTTGCCTGCATAAAAGTTAAAGTTAAATTGATTGGTATATTTAACTCATGCAAGAACTAGTAGTTCTATATACATTTCCATTGTTTTGCTCGGGGCTTCGTCTCAACTTGAATGCAAGTGAACAGTGTTAAGAATATACACAGATCGCTTCTCTGGAATTGTTACCTAGTTGAAAAGCTCAGTGAGTAGTTACCACCAATGTAATAACCTGAAGCTGCCTCCAAATGTCTTTATCTATTTATTTTTCTTTTGTCTTTATTTTTCTTTTTTCCATTATGCTAACTGCTGGTCCCTATATTATTTTTTTTTTAAAAAGAGCTAAGTTTCTATATTCACTGATAGCAATGCCATACCTAGTTTATGATGACTTGAAACAAAACAAATACCCATAAGGAAAAAAGCTGTATTTTATCTCGATTTATTTTCTGTCAATAGTCCAGTAACATTTTCCTCCCGATATAATGTTTCCTCTCCCAGGCTGTTTCTGGGAGCCAGACAGTTTAGGTAATGAAAGTGTTGATAGAAAGTGGAAGAATATGGAAGATTTACTGCTGAGTGAAGCAAGCCAGGCTATGAAGGAGAGACACTGTATGTCCCCACTTGATATATACCGAGTGTCCACACTCTATAACTGAAGCTGACGGGCTAAAGGATGTACAAACACAAGAGGTGGATGTGAATGCCAGATGTGGTGTGTGTGGAGGAGTGGGGCCTGGGGAAGAACATTTGGAGGAGGGATGCAAAGACAGCATTGTTGAGACAGGGAGGTAGTATTGTTATATTTTGATCAACTGGACCGGGGAGAAATGTTCACTTATTGAAATGATCACCTTGTAAGCTAAATAATGTGATTGAATGTATTAAAAAAATGTAAAAATTTTTTTAAAAAAGTAGCTAACTGCTCATTATTTAAATAGACAAGAACTTCCGTTTCCCACTTAATGTGCGAAGAGTTGTGTCTAAAAAAATACGCCACTTTTAAAAAGGTCCCATTTCTGATTTGTTATGTGTATCCTTTGGAAACTAATCACATGAAACTGCACAACTAGTAACGTCTTGAAATCTGTATATAAAACATAAATTACCTCAAATTTCAAACTCTCATTTATTAGTATATCACTCAAAGAGAAAATGAGAAGAAAAAATAAAGCTCCAAAGAGTCTTATGCCATTCTTTTCTAGAAAATTTTTTTAATTTAATTTTACTCATAATTATTATTATTATTATGATTTGATTTGATTTGACCAGAGAGGGAGGGAAAGCAACTCACCAGGTCTGGGACTCAAACTGTGGTCAGTCATATGGGAGTCTAGCACCTTAACCACCATGCCTCCTGCCAGCCCAGTCTTATACCATTCTTTAAGATAGAAAACTGGGGGTCAGCAGGGGCATGGTGGTTAAGGCACTGAATTCCCATAAGCTTTACCACAGTTCCAGTCTCAGACCTGGCAGCTTGCTTTCTCACTTTCTCTCTTTCTCTCTCTCTCTTTCTCTGTCTCTCTGGTGAGGGCACAGGTCTTAGAGCAAATTTTAAAAATAAAAAGGGGCCGGCAGGTGGCATGATAGTTAGGGCACTGGACTCCCACATGGACAACCACGGTTTGAGTCCTAGACCTGATGGCTTGTTTTCTCACTTTTCCTCTCTGTGTCTCTTGCTTGTCAAATTAAAAATAATAATAATAAATAGACTTGAATCAGCCATTCTAAAACTAAAAAGAAAGATGAAAGAAAAGTCTCTGATGAGAACAATCTGACCAAGTGCTGAGTCATGAGAAATAGATAAAAAAAAAAAGGAAAACAGGAATCAGGGGACCAGCAGTTAGCACAATGGCTACGTCACTCGACTCCCATCATGGTTCAAGTCCCAGACCCGGTGGCTTAAACTCACACACGTGTGCGTGCATACCCAAGATCCTGAGAGGAGAATGGAGGAGAAGGGATTGTGGCATGGCCATCCCCCCAGGGGCTGATGTCTCACTTTCTGTCTCTCTGTCTGTCAAGACTTCTGCCCTCACTAAACATGTGAGTTGCCATAAACACTTCATCAACAGCTTAAGGGGCAACGCAAGTACAAGCTGGTGTCATAATAAGCCAAACAGTGATGGCCCTAGGAGGTGATCTCATTTAACGGTCCAACATCCTCTCCTTTAAATACTTCCAGAGAACTCATACCCATGGACCCAAGAAACCAAACAAGTGCATCTGAATTCATCCTCCTGGGACTTTCAGAAAATCCAGACCAGGAAACGCTCCTGTACTCTCTGTTCCTCTGTATGTACGTGGTCACAGTTGTGGGGAATTTGCTGATCATTCTGGTCATCAGTTCAGACTCGCACCTCCACACTCCTATGTACTTCCTCCTGGCCAATCTCTCCTTGGTTGATTTCTGTCTGGCCACCAACACTGTCCCCAAGATGCTGGTCAATATCCAAACCAGAAGCAAGTCCATCTCGTATGCTTGTTGCCTGACCCAGATGTACTTCTTCCATTTCTTTGGCATCATGGACAGCGTCTTAATAGCTGTGATGGCATACGACAGGTTCGTGGCCATTTGTCACCCATTACACTACACCACCATCATGAGTCCACGGCTCTGTGGCCTGCTGGTCGGTGGCCCCTGGCTGTTCTCCTGTCTCATCTCCCTCACCCACATTCTCCTGATGGACCGCCTGGTTTTCTGTGGCAACAATGAGTTGCCGCACTACTTCTGTGACCTCACTCCACTTCTCCGACTGTCTTGCACTGACACATTTGTGAACAGGGTCTTTGTCCTCATTGTGGCAGGCATGGTGATAGCCACGCCCTTCATCTGCATCCTGGCCTCCTATGCTCGCATCATCGTGGCCATTATAAAGGTCCCTTCTGCAGGTGGCAGGAAGAAAGCCTTTTCCACCTGCAGCTCCCACCTCTCCGTGGTGGCCCTCTTCTATGGGACCACCATTGGGGTCTATCTCTGCCCCTCGTCTGTCCGTACGGCCGTGAAAGAGAAAGCGTCTGCTGTCATGTACACGGCGGTCACCCCCATGCTGAACCCCTTTATCTACAGCCTGAGGAACAGAGACCTCAAGGGTGCCTTGAAGAAGCTGGTCAACAGAAAGGTCACTTCCTCTTCCTGAACTTCCAGGAGTAGAATCTAAACATCTGGGGTCTCAGGCTAAGTTTGGAGTGTGTGGGTTGGAATATCGGTCACTCTAAATTTGGAATTGCTGAAGTTTAAAAAGAAACTCTCAAGACGGTCTATAGCTATTTCTCCAGGTGCTAGACCCAATAAGGACCCTTCTGAGGGTGGCTTCCCCTGTCGAGCACTGAAAGATTGGACTTTTCCTGGTTCAGAATCCATTTGGCATGGAACAATTTTTTTTTTTTTTAAAAAGGTTTTTGCCATAGGGGGTGCGTGCTTCCTGGAAAGAAACGAGAGAGAGACGGTGAGTAGAAAAGTAAGAAATTACCCCCTGGGGGTTTGGCCAGTCTCCTCCTGGGATTTTGGGGACACACGCACACACATTCAGAGTGGTCACCAAGCTGCCAGGTCCAGGACTCAAACCATGGTTGGCCATGTGGAGTCCAGTGCCAGAACCATTATGCCACCTGCTGGCTCCAGCATGGAACAAATATTGATTAAACTTTTCTTCTGGGCTTGATGTTAGCTGCTGAACATAGAGTGGTGGGAGGAGAGAGAATTCCTACAGTTTGGAGTTTATAGTTGAGTTGGAAGAAGACATTGAACATGTAATTACATAGAATGGAATGTGGACCATGGAGGGAAGGATCAGATATTACAAGGTCACCCAACAGAGTCTGGAGGGACTAGGGTAGGCTTCTTGGAAGAGAAAATTCTGAAGCCAAAGGCTAAGATAGTATTATCTGGGGCCAGCAGGTGGTGTGGTGGTTGAGGGGCTGGACTCCCACATGGCTGACTGCAGTTTTGAGTCCCGGCCCTGGCGTCTTGCTTTCTCACTTTTCCTCTCTTTCTCTCTCTCTCTCTCTGTCTCTATCCAGTGAGTTTACATGCTCTATAGCAAATTATGATAAATACATAAAATTAAATAAATAATCCTTTCCCCCAAAAAAGAGAGAGTATTATCCCTGAGTGAACAAGGAGATGGAGTATCTTAGAAAAACAAAACAAAACAAAACAAAACAGCATGGAGAAATTTTAAAAGTTTGTGGGATTTGGGTGCAAAACATTTTTGAAATGCATAGTCTTTTCATAAATACACATTCTCCACGAACTTTTTGAAGATTCCTTGTGTAAGAAAAGGTTAAAGAGAAAGAGAGGAAAAAAAAAATCTTAAAGTCAAGTTTTGGTGAAGAACTTGGGATATGAGAAATCAAGGGATTTTAGAATCAATCTAGATTGATCTTTCTTCTGAAAACAGGCAGTTTACTGTACCTGCAGGGACCCAAGTCAGGGAACATGTGGATGGGATACGTGTCCTCTTGTCATTGTCCCACCCAGTTTTTTCTAGAGTCTGAGGGGTGTGCTAGGAAAAGTTATGGGAAACACAAGAAAAAAGGATGGAACCAGCAGGTGGTGTGGTGGTTGGGGTGCTGGACTCCCACATGGCCAACCATGGTTCAAATCCCAGACCTGAAGGCTTGTTTTCTCACTTCCCTTTCTCACTCTCTCTGGTCCAATTTAATAATAGTAATAGTAATAATAATAATAATAATAATAATAATAATAATAGGGGCTGGCAGGTGACATGGTGGTTAAGGGCACTGGACACCCATATGTCCAACTATGGTTCAAATCCTGGACTTGGTGGCTTGCTTTCTCACTTTCCCTCTCTCTCTCTCTCACTCTTGTTTTCTCTCGCTCTTTTTCTTTTTTTAAAGAATTATTTTATTTAACTTTATTTATTCATTTTAATTTGTCCAGAAAGGGAGAGCGAGACAGAGAAAAAACAAGCCGCCAGGTCCAGGAAGTGAACCATGGTCAGCCACATAGGAGTCCAGTGCCCCTACCCACCATGCCACCTGCTGACCCCTAATAAATAATTTTTAAAGAGAGGAAAAAGACCTTGCACTGAGAGAATAAGGATTCGCTCCTGATCAGGGTGTACCTTCTAAGCCAACAAGAAGTATCAATTAATTGAGTCAGAAATCTCTAAACCAAAAGTCGAGGCATGTCTCAATCATCGTACAGACGCCTATGGAATGTGTATAAAAATTAATAATAACACTGCTTATAACAGAAATGACATCTATTCCTTGCATGTCTTGTTTTTGTGCCATCTTACGATATTTCTTCACATTGTCTCATTCCACCATTCTAAAGTCCCTAAGATATATACAAACTACATTTCTGTCTACTCCGGCATAATCTTTCTGCCTATCTGGAAATTTACAACTAAGGTAGAATGAGCAATAACTTTGGAGGAGCCAGAAATTTTCAAATGGTGCTAAGCAGCTGACATTATCTTAAGGAGAATGAATTTTTTTAAAAAAGGAATTATTTTATTTTAACCTTATTTATTATTATTATTTTCCAGTTTGTTCAGAGAGAGACAGAGAAAGAGAGAGAGAGGGAAAGTGAGAAAGCAAGCCACTAGGTCCGGGACCCCAGCTGTGGTCGGCCATGTTGGAGTACAATGCCTTTAACCACCACTCCACCTGCTGGCCCCCCAGAATGACTTTTTGGACAACCATACATTTAGTGTATGTCTGTTATTATTATTATTTTTTAGGTTTTTGCCATAGGGCATGTGCATCTCCACATGCGAGTGAGATGCACCCCCAAAGGGGATGGCCACACTGCAATCTCTCCTCCTCCAGTCTCCTCTCGGGATTTTGGTCATGCATGCACATGCGCCCGGCGTGTTTTAAGCCACTGGGTTGCAGACTCACACTGTGGTGGACCACGTGGGAGTCCAGCGTCTTAACCATCATGTCACCTGCTGCCCCTATATTTGTTACTTTTATTCTAAGAGAATTCTATTAGGGTTTCTCAGGTGAACATACAGACCTCAGACCTGTTTTTGCTGTAGACCTTACTTTGTAAGTCAGGACATGAGTTGGAAGTTCAAAAAAAGTCTACTTCCTGCTGTTTATTCTGGTGAATAAAACACAGATGTAAGAATATTGGAGTTTGGAGGGATCAGCAAGTGGCGTGGTAGTGAAGGTGCTGGACACTCCCACATGGCTGACCATGGTTTGAGTCCCAGATGTGGTGGCTTGCTTTCTCACTTTCCCTCTCTCTCTGTCTCTCTCTCTCTCTGGTCAAATGAAAATAAATGAATGAATGAATATAATTAAATAAAATAATTCTTTCAAAAAGAAAAAAGAATATTGAAGTTTGAGGCCAGCAGGTGGCATGGCGGTTAAGGCACTGGATCCCACATGGCTGACTGCATGTGCGATTCAAGTCCTGGATCCAGTGACTCAAAAAACATGCCAGGTGCATGTGTGTGCATACCCACAAATCCTGAGAGGAGAATGGAGGAGAGGGTACTGTGGTGTGGCCATCCCCCTTGGAGGGCGGTGATTTCTCCATTTCACTCTGTGTTTCTCTCAGTGAGGGCATGCACTCTATGGCAAAAAAGAAAGTTAAAAAAAAAAAAAGAATAAATAAATAAAAATTGGAGTTTGTCATGGTGTGTCCATGAACCCCGTCAGGGCCTCTTTGGAGTAACCCAAACTCACGTGATTGTTAAACCACAACTCCTCTTTGTAAGTTACTCTGTGCTCCCACTATACTCATACCTGTGATTACCGTGGTTGGGGGAGGGTTGACATTGCCAGAGGCGCCTAGAGATTTGTGAAACATTTTTCTCTGTATCCAGCTGGAGCTGGAGGCTTTCTGCACCCCCTTTCCTCCCCTGTGGAACAAGAGCTGCCTCAGGAGCCAATAAACATCTCTTAAGATTCTGTCAGTCAAATGATCTCTGTCTGGTCTTTGTGTCAAGAAATAAAAGACAGAGTCGGCAGGTGGCATGGTGGTTAAGGCACTGGGCTCCCACCATGAATCAAATCTCGAACCCAGCAGCTTGAAAAATCACACTGGGCAGGTGTGCACGCCCAAAATCCCAAGAGGAGATTGGTGGAGAAGGGATTGTGGTGTGGCCATCTTCCCATGGGGAGATTTCTCTCTCTCTCTCTCACACACACACAAGTATATGCACCTGATGGAATAAAACATAAAAGAAAAAAGAAAGAGAAGAAAGAAAAGAGAAAGAAAGAAGAAAAGGAAAGAAAGAAGAAAAAGAAAGAAAGGAAGGAAGGAGAGAAGAAGGAAGAAGAAAGGAGGAGAACGAAGAAAAGAAAGGAAGAAGAAAGAAGAAAGGAAGAGAAGGAAAGAAAAAGAGAGAAAGAGAAAGAAAAAGAAAAAGAAAAAAAAAAGAGGAAAAAGAGGAAGAAGAAATGCCATGGCCAGCCACAGCAGCGCAGTGGCAGCTCAATACTTTACGGTGCTGATGCCATGTGGGAAGGTCCCTGGTTCACCTCCCGAGGTCTCCCCGCACATGGGGAGCATGTACATGCCCTGTGATCCTGGGTAACTGTGGGTGGGGGAAGACTGTGGAATAAAGACCTGTTTCTCACCATCCCTCTCTCAGAAGAAATAAGTAAGTAAGGGTCCAGCAGGTGGCGTGGAGTTGGGGTGCTGGACTGCCACATGGCCAACGGCAGTTTGAGTCCCAGACTCCCACAGCCTGCTTTTTCATTTTCCTTCTCTTTCTCTGGTGGGCATATGCACCCTAGAGCAAATTTTAAAGTGATAATAGTAACAAGTAAAATTAAATAAATAAATTTTTTAAATAAGGAGAAGGAGGAGGAGGAGACAATGAGGAAGAAGAGGAGGAAGGAGGGTGAGAGTAGAGAGGAAGAAGGGGGGATGGTGGGGCCAGGGGAGAAGAGGATCTGAAGGGGAGGAGGGAGGGGAGTGGAGAGAAGGGAAGGGGAGGGGAGGGGAGAGGAGAGGAAGGGAGGTGGGAGAGAATAAGGAAGGAGAAAGGAGGGGAGGAGAGGGAAGGGGAAAGAGGTGGGAGGTGAAGGGAGGTGGGAAAGGGGAAAGGAGGGGAGTGGAGAGGAGAGGGGAGGAGAGGAGGGAAAGGAGAGGAGGGGAGGGGAAAAGGTCAGTCTTTACACCCTCATACAGGACTGACAGCCCGTCACAAGCAGCATCCGTGGGCTCTCAGCCCTCTTAGAGGCTGCCGCTCACCTCCATTCTCCCAGCTGCTGTGCCTCCAGGCGGATAGAGCCACGCTGTCCCCGTGTGTGTTTTTGTGCAGGCGCGTCTCAAAGCCGGACCTTAGCGCTGTCTGGACTCTGGTTGGTGCAGTTCCAAGTGGAGACACCTGGGGGCAACAGAGACACGGAGCCGGGAGGTCACACAGTGGCGCTCTTAGCGTAGAAGTCACAAGACGTCCCCGAGCCTGGCACAGACGTTTTCCCGGG